GGTTGGGGTTAGGGTTGAGAGCCAGGACTATCTGGCTCTGGAGTGGGGGTTGGGGTTAGGGTTGGGGTTCAGGTTGGGGTTAGGGTTTGGGTTGGGGTTAGGGTTCAGGTTGGAGTTAGGGTTTGGGTTGGGGTTTGCGTTGGAGTTTAGATTGGGGTTAGGGTTTAAAGCCAGGACTATCTGGCTCTGGAGTTGGGGTTAGGGTTCGGGTTTTGCGTTTAGGTTTGAGTTTAGGTTGGGGTTTGCGTTGGAGTTTAGGTTGGGGTTGGGGTTTAGAGCCAGGAATATCTGGCTCTGGAGTGGGGGTTGGGGTTAGGGTTCAGGTTGGGGTTAGGGTTGGGGTTCGAGTTGTGGTTAGGGTTTGGGTTGGGGTTAAGGTTTGGGTTGGGGTTAGGGTTAGGGTTTAGGTTTGGGTTGGAGTTTAGGTTGGGGTTAGGGTTTAGGGTTCTGGTTGGGGTCGGGGGTTTGGGTTTAGGTTGGGGTTAGGGTTTGCGTTGGAGTTTAGGTTGGGGTTAGGGTTTAGAGCCAGGAATATCTGGCTCTGGAGTTGGGGTTAGGGTTGGGGTTTAGGTTGGGGTTAGGGTTTAGGTTGGGGTTAGGATTCAGGTTGGGCTCTGGAGTGGGTTCTAACCCGCAGCGTCTGCAGGAGAACCGCATCGGCAAAGCGGTGGAGGTGATGATTCAGCACGTGGAGAACCTGCGGAGAACCTACACCACGGAACACGCGGAGCTGCTGGAGCTAAGGGAGGCGCTCATGCAGAACGAGCGCTCCTTCGGGTCCCAGACCGAGAAAGGTTAGGCCCCGCCCACCTAGGGCTGCTGGGCTAAGGGATCCTGGTTCTAACCCAAACGCTCTGTGTTACAGACGACTACCGGGGAAAGAAGCTGCCCTCCCCCTACTACAAGGTGGGTCTGCTCCGGGTTAGGGTCCGGATTTAGGTTGGGGTTGGGGTTAGGGTTAGGGTTAATGTTGAGGTTCAGGTTGAGGTTCGGGTCGGGGTTAGGGTTTAGGTTGGGGTTGGGGTTTGGATCAGGGTTCAGGTTGAGGTTCAGGTTGGGGTTATGGTTTAGATCGGGGTTGGAGTTTAGGTTGGGGTTTAGGTTAGGGTTCATGTTGGGGTTAGGGTTCTGGTTATGGTTAGGGTTCTGGTTCCACTTAACGTTAGGGTCGGGTTTATGGTTGGGGTTAGGTTAGGTTAGGGTTAAGGTTGGGGTTAGGGTTTGGGTTTAGGTTGGGGTTTGGGTTTAGGTTTGGGTTAGGGGTTCAGGTTGGGGTTACGGTTTAGGTTGCGTTTAAGGTTCAGGTTAGGGTTTAGGTTGAGGTTAGGGTTCGTGTTGGGATTATAGTTGGGGTTAGGGTTTAGGTTGGTGTTGGGGTTCGGGTTTAGGTTGGGGTTAGGGTTCGGTTTTAGGTTAGGGTTCAGGTTTAGGTGGGGGTTTGGGTTCAGACTAGGGTCAGGGTTAGAGTTAAGGTTCGTGTTGTGGTTCAGGTTGGGGTTCGTGTTAGGGGTTCAGGTCGGGTTTATGGTTGGGGTTTAGGTCGGGGTTAGGGTTCGTGTTGGGGTTAGGGTTAACCCTAACCCTAACCCTCTTCTCTCCTCAGGCTCAGAGTCGGCGCCTCAGTCTCGGCCCCGTTTCCCGCTCTGGAGGCAGCACCGCGCCCTTTGACCTGGTAAGCCCCGCCCCCCCTCATAACCCCTTATAGCCCCCCATTAGCCCGCCCCCCATAACCCCATATAGCCCCCCAATAGCCCCCCCTCCTCTGTGTGGGCGGGGCTAACCATTTGTCCCCCCCCCCCCCCCCGCCAAACCTCAGGACGGGCCGGAGGCGGAAGCGGAGCGGCTGACCAGGCGTTCCCCCTGGTAGGTGTGGGTTAGGGTTAACCCTAACCCTAACCCGGGGGTGGGGGGCGGGGCACACTGGGGTTAAGTTACAGCTAGGGTTGTCAAAAGCATCGATACTCAAAAAAGTATGGATACTAAAATGTAGTATCCGGATACGATACTCATTTTCAAAAGTATCGATACTAAAATGTTGTATCCGGATACGATACTCATTTTCTAAAGTATCGATACCACCCCTTCTCTCTGATTTATTTATGTATTTATTTACGTTGTTTATGGTCATTAACAAGACGTTAGCCTTGAACGGCTAGCTTCGGCTAATGTCTAATAGTAACATGCTACCATTAATCAAGTACATATCAAACTCCGCCCACATCCAAGTCGGCCATTTTTATTGCATTAACAATAGGAAGGTCCCAGGCAAGAAACTGGTAATGCAATTTGGTCATGGCAATATAGAGATTAATTTAAAAATAGTTAAATGAATCTTTCAAACACTGAATTAAACTCTATACATAATATTATGTTAAAATAGTGGATGTTAAATAGGTTTGTACAATAAGTCCAAACAAGTTTAACCCAAAAATATTTATTTCTCACAATTATGAAGGCTGGAGGGTCAGGGTCAGGGTCAGGGTTAGGGTTAGGGTTAGAGTTAGGGTCAGGGTTAGGGTTACGGTTAGAGTCATTAATGTGGGCCACCATAACATCAGTAACAGGTCAGTATGAAATGAAAGACACTAACCTAGTATCGGTATATAGTTGAACATGGTCATATTTTCCTGAGTATTGAGTCGAACATTTTAGTAACTTAGTGTAACTTAGTGTATAGATTCATAAAGGATCTAAACTTAATGTATAGGGTTAGAGTCATTAATGGTAACAGGTCAGTTTGAAACCAAAGACACTAACCTGTCAAAATCCAGTTTGGGGTCTTTGTTTTTATCCTTGTGGTATCGAGTATTTTCCTGATTATCGTTATCAAGTTGAACATTTTAGTATCGTGACAACCCTAGTTACAGCCGACCGCCCCGGCCCCTCCTGGGCGGTGTGTGGGTTAGGGTTAGGGTCAGGGTAAGGGGTAGGGTTAGGGTTAGTGTTAGGGTCATTAATGTGGGCCACCATAACATCAGTAATAGTTTGAAATGAAATACACTAACCTGTCAAAATTCATTTAAATTTTGGGGTCTTTGCTTTTATCCTTGTGGTATCGAGTATTTTCCTGAGTATCGGAATGGAGTTACAGCCGACTGACCCCTCCTGGGCGGTGTGTGGGTTAGGGTTCGGGTTAGGGTTGGGGTTGGGGTTAGGGTGAGGCGTGTCCTGACTGGAGGCTTGTTGTTGTTGTTGTTGTTGTTGTTGTTGTGATCATGTGATCGCCCCCAGGACGGTGGCGGGGAGGAGCCCGGCGCGCCCCCCCCTCACGCGCTTTGTTAGTTCGGCCGCCTGGGTGGGAGGCGAGGAGCCCCCGGTCACCACGAAGGGGTAAGACCCGCCCCGGGGGGGTTAGGGTTAGGGTTGGGGTTAGGGTTAGGGGTGGGGGGCAAACCCAAAGGCATGAAGCTAGCAGATACCACTGGGGCCCCCCCCCACCAGGGCCCCCCCC